GGTTTTGCATGCGTTTTGCATGCGTTTTGCATGCGTTTTGCATGCGTTTTGCATGCGTTTGGGGCTGAACAGACCTGAGAAGGGTCGAGGGAATAAAGAGCCACTCTTGCTGCGTCTGGCAAAACCGCCAAACCCTTCAAGTCCGCCCATGCTGCAGCAGGAGCCAGCAGCTGCAGTGCAGCAGCAGCAGCAGCAGAGTGCAGCGTGGCGGAGAAAAAAAGGGTTTGCGGCCGCCGCCCCGCAGCCCCCAGACCCAGCAGCTGCAGCCTGCGCAAACCCTAAACCCTAAACCCTAAACCCTAAACCCTAAACCCTGGCGCGGGCCGGCAACGCGAAGCGCGGCCCGGGCAGCCAAAGAACGGGGCCAAACGCCACTGCAAACCCTCGCGACAACAACCCCTAACCCTAAACCCTAAACCCTAAACCCTAAACCCTAAACCCTAAACCCTAAACCCTAAACCCTAGGGAGGGCCAGGAAAGCAAAGGAAGGACCGGGAACAGCCAAAGAACGGCGCCGGGAAACCCCTGCAAGCCCTCCCCAACCCCCAACCCCCAAGCCCCAAACCCTAACCCCAAACCCTAACCCCAAACCCTAAACCCTAAACCCTAAACCCTAAACCCTAAACCCTACTCGTGGAGCTTCTTGGCGCCCTGGTCCTTCACCACTTCGTCGGCCTCGTCAATTATTAAAAGCTGCAAACGGCTGAGAGGAATTGCCCGCCGCTTCGCAAGTTCTAGGGTTTTGTCCAGGGTCCCCACCAGCACGTCCGTCTTAAACACAAACCCTAAACCCTAAACCCTAAACCCTAAACCCTAAACCCTAAACCCTAAACCCTAGGCGCCCTTAACAAGGCACACTTAAGGACTCCGAGGCACTGAACTCTTCAAAACCGGACTCTCCAGGGAAATTAAACCCTCACGCAACTCCCCAGAAGCTTCAAACCCTAAACCCTAAACCCTAAACCCTAAACCCTAAACCCTGCTCACACTTTTAAAGTCTGTCCTGTGAGCTGAGCCGCCGCCTGGCCCCCCACCAACACACGACTCTATCAGGAGACGAGGCCTTTCCAACACCCTCCCTGAAGCGCTAAAACCCTAAACCCTAAACCCTAAACCCTAAACCCTAAACCCTAAACCCTAAACCCTAAACCCTAGTACTTATGTACGCGGCCCCTATGCTCGTAGCGGCCTGCACACTGAAGCTGCGCACTCATCTCATGAAAAGCAACAGCAACAGCAGGAAGGTCAGCAGCAGCAGCAACAGCAGCTGCAGCAGCAGCAGCAACAGCAGCAGGCAATGAGTCGGTCCTCGTCAGCTGCCCCACTTCGGCCACGCCTTCTATGGGGAATAAAAAGTTAGAGAAACGCACATCCACCTGCGCACCAAACCCTAAACCCTAAACCCTAAACCCTAAACCCTAAACCCTAAACCCTAAACCCTAAGCCCTAAAAAGGGGCCACTTCCTAAACCCTCACTATTCACGCGGAAGCCCCGATCGCGCAATTCGCCCATTTCTTTAAAGGTGCATGCAGGGATCGAGAAATTAGGGTTTAGGGTTCGCCTTCGAGGGTTTAGGGTTTAGGGTTTAGGGTTTGGGACCTCGAAACCCTTGCCGCAAACCCCCGGACGCAGCGGGGTTGCTGCAACAGCAGCAGGAAGGGGAAAAGCAACTCCCATGGGTCTTCCATTTATATAAAAAGAAACAGAGCCGCAGCTGCTGCTGCTGCTGCTGCTGCTGCTGCTGCTGCTGCTGCTGTTGCTGCTGCTGCTGCTGTCGCGCTCGATGACGCACCCGACTGCGTCGCCAGGCCCAAACGGACAGCCGTAGTCAAGGAACTTCCTGCATGCAAACCCTAAACCCTAAACCCTAAACCCTAAACCCTAAACCCTAAACCCTCAGCTGACTAAACCTTCGGCCGAAGCGACGCAGCAGGGACTGCCCCCGAAAGCTGCCGCGGAGGCCAGAGGCGGCGCCCGGGAAAAGCGACCTCTAGGGTTTAGGGTTTAGGGTTTAGGGTTTAGGGTTTAGGGTTTGGGACCCGTTCCAGCTCTTCTTTCCAGTGCTTCCAAAACCAAAAGAAAAAATGTCTAAACCCAAAACCCTCGAGCGCGCTTTGCTGCCGAAGCCCACGCGCACGAGGCCGCGGTGTACGTACACCTCAAACTGCAAGCACACCCAGTCTCACCCCTGCTGCTGCTGCTGCTGCTGCTGCTGCTGCTGCTGCTGCTGCTGTTTGCCTGCAGCACTCGTGGGCTGGCCGTGAGACCATTCGCTGCTGCTGTTGCTGCTGCTGTCGCTGCAGTTGTTAGTCTCAAAGCTCGTGAACAGGCCGTGAGGCTATTTGCTGCTGCTGCTGCTTAATTTAGTGCTGCTGCTGCTGCTGCAGTTCACGCTTCTGCTGCTGCTGCTGCTGCTCCTGCTGCTGCTGCTGCTGCTTACTGACCGCATATTTGCCCCTGTAGATGTCTGCTGGGGCTCTGAACCCCCTCCAGTTGTCTGAGTCAGTGCACACAAGATTTATAGGCGGAGCTGCTGCTGCTGCTGCTGCTGCTGCTGCTGCTGCTGCTGCTGCTGGGCGTGGGGTCCAAATGATTTGCATGTCCCGGTCGCTGCCGTCAGTCTGCCAGCCAGCGGCTCCTGAGGCGTACGTACACCTCAAGTACACGGCGCATGTAGCAGCAGCAGCAGCAGCTGCAGCAGCAGCAGCAGCAGCTGCAGCAGCAGCAGCTGCAGCAGCAGCAGCTGCAGCAGCAGCAGCAGCAGCAGCAGGTGCAGCAGCAGCAGCTGCAGCAGCAGCAGCTGCAGCAGCAGCAGCTGCAGCAGCAGCAGCAGCAGCAGCAGCAGTGGGCGCAGCTGCAGCTGCTGCGCTGCCCAAGCCAGCCACGGGCGAAGCACTCGAGGCAGCAGCAGCAGCCTCAGCACCGCCACAGCCCAGAAAAGCAGCAGCAGCAGCAGCAGCAGCAGCAGCAGAGGAGCCCACCTGCGGCAGCAGCAGGTGCTGCTGCTGCTGCTGCTGCTGCTCCCACTACTCCTGCTGCTTCTGCTGCTGGAGTAACAGCAACTCCCCGCAAAGCCTCATGAACCAGCTGCAGCGAAGGCAGCACAAATGCTGCAGTCTTGCCGCTGCCTGTTTCTGCTGCAGCGCAGACATCGCCTCCCTGCAGCAGCACAAAGCCCAAACCCTAAACCCTAAACCCTAAACCCTAAACCCTAAACCCTAGGAGGCGGCGCAGCCGCCCTGCAGCCGCGCGCCGTCCGCTGCGGCTGCGGGCGGCGCAGCGGCGGCGCGCAGACTCGCGCCTGGGGCGCAGCCCCAGGGTCTAGGGTCTAGGGTTTAGGGTTTAGGGTTTAGGGTTTAGGGTTTACGCCCAAGATGAGGGGGATGGCCTCGGCCTGAATGGCCGTGGGAAGAACCCAACCCTCGTCTTCTGTTGCAGAAATGAGTTCTGGGCAAAGCGCGAGTTCTGCGAAGGCGGCCATGGCTGCGGTGTACGTACACCTGAAGTAGCTGGGGGGAGCGCGGGGTGTACAGGCAGCTTTCCGGGGCTCGCGGGGGTCCAATTGAAGCCACTTTTCCATCAAATGATTTATTTTGTTCTTTTGTTTTCGTAAATTTCAAAAAAACTCAAGAAGGAGCCACAAGGACCCCGGGAAGCTCCCGCCTGCGCGCTGCGCAAAGTCGCTGTCGGCAGACCCTAGGGTTTAGGGTTTGCGATTAGGGTTTGAGCAATTAAATCCGCTCTTCCACTTTTATTTTTTATTTTTAATTTCATTTCTTTTGTTTTATTTCCGTTTAGTTATCTTTTGACGCGCGGGGAGCACAGGCGGGCAGCAACGGCCGACACCAGCCTGAACTCTAAACCCTAAACCCGTAAACCCTAAACCCTAAACCCTAGACCCAGTACTCTGGACCACCAACTTTGAGCTTCAAGCATTATGCCCTAGGCACTGCATCCTAGCTTAAACCCTAAGAAGGCCCTAAACCCTAAACCCTAAACCCTAAACCCTAGCTGAAACGTTGGGACTGGCATGCTGCTGCTGCTGCGCTGCACATTTGCTGCTGCTCTTCTTTCTCCTTAGCTTCTGTGTTGCTGCAGCTGCTTTTGTGTCTCTTTGTTTGTGTCTCTTTATCCAATCAATAATTAATTTAATTTATTTAATTTAATTTAATTTAATTTAATTTAATTTAATTTAATTTAATTCACTCCCGCGTCTCCTTATTTGTCTCCTAAATTTTGCTGCTATTTAGAAGTCTCCTTCTTTTCAACTGTGTGTCTCCCCTGCTGCTGCTGCTGCTGCTGCTGCCGCTGCTGCTGCTGCTGCTGCTAGGGTTTGCTGCTCTCGCCTGGTTGTGCGCAGCCGCAGCCGCTGCAGTTGCAGCAGCAGCAGCAGCAGCAGCAAGTGCTGCTGCTGCTGCTGAGTTCCGTGTCTCCTTTGTCTCCCCCTTTGGCTTCTGTCTTCTTTTTTGTTTTATTTTGTTTTTTGTCTCTTTGAAGTTCTTGCCTCTTTTTGCTTCTGTGTTGCTGCTGCTGCTGCTGCTGCTGCTGCTGCTGCTGCGATCTCTCCGCGACTGTCAACAAAAGGCTTGTGTCTGCAACGGTTTAGGGTTTAGGGTTTAGGGTTTAGGGTTTAGCGTTTAGGAGTTTCCTCCTTCCCAGCTCAAACCACGCCAAGGAACACTTGCTGCTGCTCAGCCAGCTGTCTGCTGCACTGCCTTTGCAGCAGCAGCAGGAGCATCAGCAGCAGCGCCTGCAGCAGCAGCAGCAGCAGCAGCAGCGGCAGCAGCAGCGGCAGCAGCCCTTTTTCTTCGTGCTGCTAGTGCTTCTGCTGTTGAAACAGATGCTGCTGCTGCTTTGCTGCTGCCCTTTTGGTGCTCTTGTTGCTTCTGTTATTGCTGCTGTTCCTGCTGCTGCTGCTGCTGCTGCTGCTCTTGCTGCTGCTGCTGCTGCTGCATGTCAAATCTGAATCGGACTTTGGGGCTTCTGCTCTGGGGGGAGA